ACGCGCTCGGCGGTGAAGGAAAACATCCTGAGGAAACTTGCATGTCTAAGAATATAATTATAATCAAATTGACATAGGTAAGTACAGATAAAATTAGCGGAACATTAATAAAATTTTGAGATCGTTTTTTTTTTAATTTTATTTATATCCGATATTTTTGTCTGTGCTTATGTCAATTTGATTTACATTCGATCTCTAAATTGTAGTTTGCGGGGGTAACGGGGATTTATCAGCTCCGGCAAAACAGATTTCTGATAAAAGTTATACAATTTTAAAATTTTGTCTGTCGTCTAAAACGCATCATCTCTTCCAATTATATTAATTTCCATGCCATTTGGCATCCAAATAACAAAATAGCAAAACTTTTCGTTTTGAATAAAACTCGAATAAGCACGGGTCACAGTACGTCACCGCGCGTGCATGCCTGCGCGAGCGTCGTCTTCCCGCACCGCACCGGGGTAAACATTATTCAGTGAGATGCACGATAATGGGTCTGGCCACTCAATTTTGTTAAGGGTATTAAAAATTGTATAAAAAATTACGAATTATACGGTATTCTTATTTTTTTTCTACCTTTAAAAATGACTGAAATATTGATGAGTAAAAGTGGTGTTTTACGGTAAAGACGACCGCTTTGCTCCGCATCGCGATGTGACGTCACAATTCGACACGTCGAAGCCACCAGTAGTGTTTATTGTTATGAAGATGTTTTTGATGTAAGTTTCATTATTGTTTGTTTACATATATACCTATTGTTACCTACAAAATGTTTACGAGCCACACCACACAACACACACCAGTGTTAATAACTATTTGGGTTTTATATACCTACTTACCTGTTCATGAAATAGGCGCGCTTGGCTAAGTAGTCGAGGTGTCTGCCCATCTTACGTCGTTTGTATAAGGCACAAAATTACTTAAATTGTTACTCTGCGTATTCAAGTCATGATCAGCGCTCATAACTTTTACATAACTCTCCTGGCACAACCTATACCTACAACTTTACCTACTTATCTTGGTATGTGTGTGTAAAGTATCTTAATATACCTTTAGAATTGCTAATAGATGCGCACGTAAAGGTATATAAAGGTACGTAAAGGTATGTAAAGGTACGTAAAAGTATGCTAATAGATGCGTGTGCCGTGTAAGCTTAAAGCATAATACGTTCGTATCGCTATTTGCGAGGTCAAGATCGCTATGCAATGCGCTATATAGCGTAGTGCGCCTGTGTGCGTGTGGTACGTGCGTTGCTAAGACAAGTGCGATTGATCAGGGATGAGGGACAAACTGCTGTGACAGTATGTGTTAAAAATAAAACCAAGAATAAAATCGATATTGAAGTGAGGGATAGCGAACCTTTGGCTCTTTGTTAACCTATATACAATAACAATACGTTAAAGTTAAGTAACAATAATATGTATTAACATGCCGGACGACACACTTTAAATCCAAACGTGTTTTCGTGTCGAACAGCCATAAAAATCGTCGAGATCGTAGATTCGAGCCCACATGCCATATTTTTCTTGTCATGTTATTTATTTATCAGTAACCTTTATTTTCTGTTTTTTTTTTTTAAATTTCTGTTATATCACGCTCCTTGAGAATAAAAGTCCGATATGAGAAGATAAAATCCTGTAGATCATGTTATAACTTTACGCAAAATTTCATCAAAATCAGTTTAGTATTACACGCATTGAATGCGACCATTGCATTTTCAAAACAGAATAGGTACTAACTACCAACGTAAAACTAGGACCATATGTTTGCAACCACTGACGAACTACGTAGCCAACAAAATTTCTTCACGTGTCACTGGGTACTAAATAACAGTACGAGTTGATTAAAACTCACTGCATTAGTAAGTTTAAATAAGTTTTTTCATTTTATGTCATTGTAAGTCATGTGCTACTTCGTAGTTCGGTCAGTTAATACCTGTGTATTACTGCAAACCATTGATGAGTAATTAGGCTTTAGCTGTATACTTTACAAAAAGTAGTACTTTTTGTAATCTTATTTCAGTTTATAAATCAAATCAAATAGTGTATTTTGTGAGTCACAGGTTACAAAAAGGTCTTATTTAAAGACAAATAAATTTCAGTCTGTTCTGTGATCAGCCCAATGGGCATACAAATGCCAAATATTATTAATAGTTCATTGTCTAATCTATTATTATTCATAATAATAGATTAGATTATTAGATTAAATTATTAATAAGTAGTAATATGGATTCTGGAAACAGGGTCATAAAAATCGAAAATGCTTTTCTTCGCCGCTAAGCACTAAATAAATTTAACAATTTTATTTGTTATATCAAATGATATAGTTAAATAAAGTTATACAAAAATTGCTACCAAAGAAAACAGATACGGCGTCCACAAAACAGTCGTCCATTTTGCGATAAATGTGGATGAATATGTAGGATTTGAAAAAATTCTGAGCTGCGGTTATAAAAACGGTGATTTTTATAATGAAGTAATTTCCCATATTGCTCCCTTTGATGCAATGTCGCATAACGGTGGGAATAGGAAAGAGTACGGAGCTAAGAGATGTCATTAATAGTTAAAATGGCTGACCACTTCATCAATCTGATGTCAGTACTTAGTTGGAGACTTACGTGCTTACGGGCAGTTCCTCTTTTTGTGTTTTGCGGGCTCTAAGACAACAGTGGAGACCTTGCTGCTTGGCGACATTAATAGGTGTTTATGCCCAAATTTGGTTATGTTTGAACGCCACCCAATTGCGTTCGAGCTGGCGCCTCACCCGATGGTATGTAGGTGAGATAAGCGCCGAGGTGGGGCGGCCGTGCGCGGCTGCGTGGGAGTCTGTTGCTCGACGCGTGGGCGAAGCGTCGGTGCCCCGCCGGCCACGATGCGGGGAGACCGTCAAGCCCTCTTCCCTAAATTCACGGGCCCGTCGTGGATCTAGATAGCTAGATGAAGTACGTGCTTCTTCGTCACGTAGATATGTGAATTGTGCGATATTTAACTCAGACGAGAGTGCGGAATAGTGTACGCGCGTCGAGTAGATATACGGTCTAGGATTCGAGCCGCGCATTCCTAGTTTGAGAGCGCCCGGTTAATTGGCAGGATATCGTTATAATTGGGTCGTCGCGTTAGTGCCTTTTTGTCTTTTGGTTGCCTAGTTAAATTAATTTGCGTGTCAACGAGGCGTATTTTGAATCTTGTGCGACGTGTTATTCTGTGTCAAATTTATAATTTGTGATAAGTGAATCCGGGACATTGAACTTTGTACTACTGTCCGTTGCCGTGTCGGGTATCACGTGTTCAACTCTGCGATGAGTGTGGAATTAGGCGAATTGAAGTTAGTTAAATGTACAATGAAGCTAAGAGACTGAATAGTGACAGTGAAGAAAGAAGTGGTCCGGCGCTGAAGCAGTCTGGAGCGATGCAGTATTTTGGAGCAGCCCTGAACTCGGCCGCTGCTTGTCGACTATGCTTGCCAAGGCCCCACACATTCACACATCACTGTACACGACTCGCTATCTACCATTACACACACTCACGGCCTGCCCAAGCCTTGGAGCGAATTTAGCTCCTGATACAGGTAAAGTACCTTTGCTTTCTAGTTTGCTCCCATACAGTTTATTGTGATAGAACATATTTCACGTGGCCATATTGAGGCCCGACCTGCGTCTGCTCGTGAAGTCTTCTGCTGAATGGGCCCCGGAGGATTTGACCCTTGCTGGAGCAACCGTAGGCCGTAACAATAGGTAAGAGGGTGGTCTACGGTCTACGCAAGCAGACCCAAGCAGAATCTGAACCTTACTACCTTGACAATCGCAATCCTTGAAGTGTCAATGAAACTAGAGTATATTTATAATCACATTTTTATTATAGTTTACACTTTATATGATTCACATAAACATATTATAGCTTAAATTTATTTCGCCTACAAATGTGAAAAATTAAATAATTTAGAATTGTTAATAATAGTTATTATTTAAAGTATCACAAATATCGGATAGATTAACACTGCACTGAAAGCGCGAAGCATCTACCGAAGGGGAGGGCCTTAACTGGACCATACAATAGTGACTCCAACTCGCCGATACACTAAATTGTCATGTTTCAAGTAAATATCTACAAACCTCAAAGAGATCTGTAAAAAATCGATTCTACGTTACACATTGAAGCTTACAGTTGGCACAGTAGTGTCTTTTATATCTTGGTAAGGCTAATTCGTTGAGACTTTAGTGCTTTTGTGTCAATATGGGCAATAATATGGTTAACTTATAGCTGCCGATGTATTATGCCGATATATTAACTTTCCTCTGGAATGATGTCAGGACTAGTGGTGGGCAATTGTGAATAATTAATACTATATCATTCAATTATATCTCATTACGGCCAGAAGTAATAATAATTAATAATAACATCAATAAGACAATAATGTAGTTATTTCAGTAAATAATGGCTCGATTTCTGAGTATGTACACTTATAATTCCACGCATTTCGTTGCATTAATCACGCGAATCTGAGAACCATCCATTCGCTGTTTATAATCTATGACTTAGTTCACTCCATTCACCGGATAGTGCCTTTACTATAAAATCAATTGTGTAATATTGTAATATACAATTCAACTGCTTATTAATAAGTCGCAATAAACTCGATGCAGCCTGTATAATTGTAACTAACTTGTTTCACGCTTACATCTCAGTTTGAGAACATTGCAACAAATGGTTTCTCACTGTTTCTTTCGTCAATTTCTATTCTCTCCTTACTATTCAATAATGCAAATCAATTGGTTGTAAAAACCATTGATCATTTCCATTTATCAACATTACAAAGTTCTCGATTCAAATCAATATGTACAACTGCAAATCACTCGAATATCACATTGCGGATGTCCGAAAAATCAACACAACCGATTCACAATTTCACACTTCTCCTATTTCAGTCCTTTTCATTTGAACTCAGTTGGCGGTGCTAAACGTATCGTAGCGTCCACTTTTAGCATCGCGTGTCTGTCGCGTTCGTTACGAGGCGTCGGGCGTGGCGGAGCGGGCGGCGGGCGGCGGGGGGCAGGTGCAGGTGCAGGTGCCCGCCTCCGGGTCGGGCGGCGGCGGCGCGGCCGAGCCGTACAGGAACAGGCTGCGCAGGCGGGCGGAGCGCGACGACGTGGACGGCAGCTCGTCGGGCCACGAGGCGGCGCTCGCGGTGTCGGACGCGGCCACGTCGGCGGTCACTTCGAGCCGGTGCGCGGCCGGCGAGGGCGCCTCGTGCCCGCCCAGCGAGCCCGCCAGCGCGGCCAGGGAAGGCGCCCGCGCCTCCGCTTGCGCAGAGCCCGCGGACAGTGACGCGTCGCCTGCCAAAGGATAGTAATAAGCTAATAAGTAAAGACGCGTTAAAATTGATTGTTCGAGAATGATCTTTGATTCTAATATAGTAGACGCTGACGCTAAGTTAGAGATATATAGTAGTCATTGACAAAATAATTGAGTAAAGGTACGGAGGGTCGTCGCTCGTCGCTGACGGCGCGCATGGTACGTATGGTGCGTGTCACTGACCGATGCTGGGCTCGAGGCGACGCGAGACAGCGTCCGCGTCGGGCGCAGCGTCGCGCTCGTCCCGCTCGTCGCGCTCGTCGTCGTAGCGGTGCGGCGCGGCGGCGCACCCGCCGGCGCGGCACAGCGACACGGGCACGACGCCGTACACGTAGAACAGCAGGATCGGCACGCCGATGCCCACCGCCAGCCCCGCCACCAGCGGCGACACCACCAGCTGCAACCCACCGCACCAACCTTTATTAACCTTACTACTTCTTTAATACTACTACAAATAAATACAAATACAAATTAATTTATTTCAATAAAGCATGCGCAACTTCAATACAGTATATTTAATAACAATTCTATAAACATATTAATGACGTAAATTTGTTTTTACAATATGTAATTCACAATATGAATTTACCGTGTGTCCAGCGAGATACACGTGTTGGACCAACGCGATTGATTCTTTCCTGCTCTAAAACCCCCAAATAAGCAGTAGCAATTATTTTTCAACACCATCGAGCACGTGGTAAATGAGCATCACGGCGTTGACGTTTGCAACGACATCCAAAAAGAATTCACGTGTGTTGCGTGCGCAACATAGCGCAAAGCTACGACAAATGTAGTCCAAATAGAGTTTGACTACATGATGAGTGCTGGGTATGTGGCGAAGTGACTTACCGTTTAAACTGCTGCAATGGCAGCATACGGGTAAACTCTCGTATTTTTTTTTGTAGAATAAGGGTGACAAACAAGCGCACAATCCACCTGATGATAAGTGGTTCCTGTGGCCCGTAGACATCTATCTTCGTTTGCGAATTAATATGCAGATGCGTTGTCAGCCGTGAGGATCTCCGGCGACGGCGGCGGCGACGACGGCGCGGCGGCACGCAGGCGTGGCGCGGCGCAGGCTGCGGTGCGCGCGGCTGCCGGCCCACAGCGGCAGTGTTGTGTGCTGCGTGTGCTGCGTGTTGCGAGTGCTGTGTGCTACTGACCGCTGCGGCGACGGCGGCGCGCAGGCGTGGCGCGGCGCAGGCGGCGGTGCGCGTGGCGGCCAGCCCACAGCGGCAGTGCTGTGTGCTGCGTGTGCTGCGTGTGCTGCGTGCTGCGAGTGCTGTGTGCTACTGACCGCTGCGGCGACGGCGGCGCGCAGGCGTGGCGCGGCGCAGGCGGCGGTGCGCGCGGCGGCCGGCCCACAGCGGCAGTGCTGTGTGCTGCGTGTGCTGCGTGCTGCGAGTGCTGTGTGCTACTGACCGCTGCGGCGACGGCGGCGCGCAGGCGTGGCGCGGCGCAGGCGGCGGTGCGCGTGGCGGCCGGCCCACAGCGGCAGTGCTGTGTGCTGCGTGTGCTGCGTGCTGCGAGTGCTGTGTGCTACTGACCGCTCCGGCGACGGCGGCGGCGACGACGGCGCGGCGGCACGCAGGCGTGGCGCTGCGCAGGCGGCGGTGCGCGCGGCGGCTGGCCCACAGCGGCAGTGCTGTGTGCTGCGTGTGCTGCGTGCTGCGAGTGCTGTGTGCTACTGACCGCTGCGGCGACGGCGGCGCGCAGGCGTGGCGCGGCGCAGGCGGCGGTGCGCGTGGCGGCCGGCCCACAGCGGCAGTGCTGTGTGCTGCGTGTGCTGCGTGCTGCGAGTGCTGTGTGCTACTGACCGCTCCGGCGACGGCGGCGGCGACGACGGCGCGGCGGCACGCAGGCGTGGCGCGGCGCAGGCGGCGGTGCGCGCGGCGGCCGGCCCACAGCGGCAGTGCTGTGTGCTGCGTGTGCTGCGTGCTGCGAGTGCTGTGTGCTACTGACCGCTGCGGCGACGGCGGCGCGCAGGCGTGGCGCGGCGCAGGCGGCGGTGCGCGTGGCGGCCGGCCCACAGCGGCAGTGCTGTGTGCTGCGTGTGCTGCGTGCTGCGAGTGCTGTGTGCTACTGACCGCTGCGGCGACGGCGGCGGCGACGACGGCGCGGCGGCACGCAGGCGTGGCGCGGCGCAGGCTGCGGTGCGCGCGGCGGCCGGCCCACAGCGGCAGTGTTGTGTGCTGCGTGTGCTGCGTGCTGCGAGTGCTGTGTGCTACTGACCGCTGCGGCGACGGCGGCGCGCAGGCGTGGCGCGGCGCAGGCGGCGGTGCGCGTGGCGGCCGGCCCACAGCGGCAGTGCTGTGTGCTGCGTGTGCTGCGTGCTGCGAGTGCTGTGTGCTACTGACCGCTGCGGCGACGGCGGCGCGGCGGCGCGCAGGCGTGGCGCGGCGCAGGCGGCGGTGCGCGTGGCGGCCGGCCCACAGCGGCAGTGCTGTGTGCTGCGTGTGCTGCGTGCTGCGAGTGCTGTGTGCTACTGACCGCTGCGGCGACGGCGGCGCGGCGGCGCGCAGGCGTGGCGCGGCGCAGGCGGCGGTGCGCGCGGCGGCCGGCCCACAGCGGCAGTGCTGTGTGCTGCGTGTGCTGCGTGCTGCGAGTGCTGTGTGCTACTGACCGCTGCGGCGACGGCGGCGGCGACGGCGGCGCGGCGGCGCGCAGGCGTGGCGCGGCGCAGGCGGCGGTGCGCGCGGCGGCCGGCCCACAGCGGCAGTGCTGTGTGCTGCGTGTGCTGCGTGCTGCGAGTGCTGTGTGGTACTGACCGCTGCGGCGACGGCGGCGGCGACGGCGGCGCGGCGGCGCGCAGGCGTGGCGCGGCGCAGGCGGCGGTGCGCGCGGCGGCCGGCCCACAGCGGCAGTGCTGTGTGCTGCGTGTGCTGCGTGCTGCGAGTGCTGTGTGCTACTGACCGCTGCGGCGACGGCGGCGGCGACGGCGGCGCGGCGGCGCGCAGGCGTGGCGCGGCGCAGGCGGCGGTGCGCGCGGCGGCCGGCCCACAGCGGCAGTGCTGTGTGCTGCGTGTGCTGCGTGCTGCGAGTGCTGTGTGCTACTGACCGCTGCGGCGACGGCGGCGGCGACGGCGGCGCGGCGGCGCGCAGGCGTGGCGCGGCGCAGGCGGCGGTGCGCGCGGCGGCCGGCCCACAGCGGCAGTGCTGTGTGCTGCGTGTGCTGCGTGCTGCGAGTGCTGTGTGCTACTGACCGCTGCGGCGACGGCGGCGGCGACGGCGGCGCGGCGGCGCGCAGGCGTGGCGCGGCGCAGGCGGCGGTGCGCGCGGCGGCCGGCCCACAGCGGCAGTGCTGTGTGCTGCGTGTGCTGCGTGCTGCGAGTGCTGTGTGCTACTGACCGCTGCGGCGACGGCGGCGGCGACGGCGGCGCGGCGGCGCGCAGGCGTGGCGCGGCGCAGGCGGCGGTGCGCGCGGCGGCCGGCCCACAGCGGCAGTGCTGTGTGCTGCGTGTGCTGCGTGCTGCGAGTGCTGTGTGCTACTGACCGCTGCGGCGACGGCGGCGGCGACGGCGGCGCGGCGGCGCGCAGGCGTGGCGCGGCGCAGGCGGCGGTGCGCGCGGCGGCCGGCCCACAGCGGCAGTGCTGTGTGCTGCGTGTGCTGCGTGCTGCGAGTGCTGTGTGCTACTGACCGCTGCGGCGACGGCGGCGGCGACGGCGGCGCGGCGGCGCGCAGGCGTGGCGCGGCGCAGGCGGCGGTGCGCGCGGCGGCCGGCCCACAGCGGCAGCCCAACCAGTAGCGCGGGCAGCGCCACACCCGCCACCACCGCGATGCCCAGCGGCGCGCCCGCCAGCGTGCCTAGCTGCCACAGCAGTTTCTTCTTGCGTGACCACGGCTTCTTGCCCCAGAACGTGCACCCGCTTGGGCTGCAACACACAAACACACAATTATTATATTTTACTTTATCATTAGAACTAACGGTCGCCTAGTGGTCGAAATTCGACCATTTTTGGCTAACTTGATAAAGAAGGAGTTTCTCAATTCGAGTGTATGTTTTTATTGTATGTATGTTACGCAGATTGTGAAAGGATTTTGATGATTCCTTTTTTTAAATAGGTTATACGCGGTAGCGAAGCCTCCATAGAAGCCGAGAAGGCGGGCTTGCCCTATCAAACTACTCAATCAATAATATCAACTAAAAAAATAACTCGTAAACTGTTTCAAGCTATTTCAATTTTCCCGCGCGCTCCTCTTTTCTACACAGGTCATGACCTCGTAGCCTTATTTTGTAACTTCAAAACTTGACAGATTGTTTTCAATTTCAAATACACTGATTCGTGTTCTCTCTGTCTTAAAGCGAACACGCAATGGACTGTCAAAATTAATGAAAGCAAAGCAATATGGATGGACCCCGGTCGCGGCAAAACTGCGCGATAATGCTGTCATGAAAAAGGAGTTGAGTTGAGCGATTAGGCGTCTCTCTCGCACGCATGGGCTTTTTATCGGGCTTTCGAGAAGACCATCGTTCCCTTTCTAACCTGTGGCAAAATGTTCTATAATGAAATATAACTACGATAGTTTATATAGCAATTAGTATGGAGCGATAAGCTGGGATTTCGGTGTGAAGTTAGTCCAGCGAGGGGGCGCGCGGGCGATACGTTTGCAAGTTCACTTCACATTTCAATGTTTACTCTGTGTGTTTACTTGATTGAAAGTTTATGCTTTTTTAAAGATTTTTAGTGAAAATGGAGGATAATAGTGTTCCTTGTGATTAATTGAAGTGTGTTAAAGTGCTAATCGGCGAGGAAGAGGTAAAATATTTAAACTTTGTAGAGACGATTCGATTTAGAATATAATTTGTTTTTTTAATTTTGTACTTTGTTCATGCTTTTCTTTTGTTCATGTTGTAAACCCAAACGGCTTTTTTCAAAGCCACAGAAGGTATGCAATTGTGGATGTCATACAATCTATCTAGCAGTAGTGTGCCTTCTGTGTTCTTTGTTAAACACGTCCTCGACAGCACTGAATATGAAACTGAAGAGTGGAGACAGATCAAGATTGGTGTATTTTTATAAATACTGCTAAAAACAACAAAACCATATCTTGGGCTTGCCCTAGTATAGAGCCCTAGCTTCGTTATACGTCAAGGGTGGTCTCATATAAATTTGAAGAAAAAATTACACTCCGAAGCATAGCAAATAAATAACATCTTTTTTAGCAATTTTAAGTTTTATTTTATTTTCAGCTGTACGTTGTTAATACGTAAACGTAAAAATGCAGATATCCAATGTACAAAATATAAAATACACACAATGTAAACACCTTTTTGCTTTGATATGTACTCCACAGACTATGGAAAATGGAACATTTGAAATCAGACAAAATTGATTAGTGATTTTCTGGCAAATATTTAAATTATTGTTCGACAATCTCTACTCTGTGCAACAGTTTGACCAGAAACTATTATGTGAGTGACATAGGCAGTAATAAACGTAAACAATAAATATTATATTTTATATCATTCTATTCACTTGTAACTCACATTTATATATAAAAATTACATGTCCACATCACATTTGTCCGCGATGAACTCCTTAATTACTCAACTGATTTCAATGAAATTTTACACTGACCAGTTTAACCACGCTGTGTGCAGTTTGGTTCAAATTTATGGATAGGATAGGTTTTATCCCGATACCTCCCAATATTTTTTATTACGAATTTAGGGATTTTTATAGAACAAAGGGTCGTAGAAGAGGACAGAACAATAGTTGCTTGGCCAGCTAGTATTATATATAAATGTTATCTTTCTGCACTTCTTCTCTATAAGGGCTATGCCCAATCTCATAGTCCTCTGTGCGCGCAATATGCTTCAAAAGAGGCAAACGTTTTTCCTTCAAATATTAATATATAGGTATTGTTCGTTCTCAATGCAGAAAATACAATAAACTTGATTACTTGAGACACTGCTTCCTCATGTGTATCGCTACATTACCTACTATTAATTTTTAATGCAGTAATGATAGTTGATCTATCTATAAATAAAATCTACAATTTGTTGAATCTAAATTCAAGATTCATCATCTAAATGACAACCATCTACTGTATCTTTTGCAACCCATGGACACCTGTAACTAACTTAAAGCAAGAAAAGGTGCATATTTCATTCCTAGTGATTGTAAATTTTATTTTGTTCCACCGTAGTTAGTGCAACTGAATCGCATTACTTGTTTTAACGATATATGAACGGTTTTTTTTAAGTGGTAACAGGCAGTTTGGGCATCATCTCACCTAAGGTAGTGAAGATCGGAAACCTCCTTCATGCAAAGCCAGCAGAACTCCGCGCCGCAGACGCAGCACACCATGTGGTTGCACGAGCCGTCCTCCACCTTCACAATCAAGACAGAACAGCGGGGACAGGGCTTCACTTCCCCTGGAACCATAACATTTATCACTGTTATAACTATTTCATAATAGAATTTATTGTAGAGTACATAAAATTTACATAACGAGTTCAAAGAGGCGCACGTCTAACAGTGATAGACTATTGCATGATGAGAAAAACGAATTTTGGTTAAAAGTTGGTAGTTGAAGTTTTGACATTCCTAAATAAGATATCGGTTTTGTAGAGACCTTGACAGGGTAGCTTTATAAATTTTTTACAAATTTCAATTGTAATTGTCATTCTCACCTTTTTGAGGTTTTTTTCTTGTACAAATTTGGAGTCGTGCACTTCAAAGTAAATAATATAGACAGCGCAGTAGCTAAGCGTTTAGTTGTGACGCTGCAGGACTGTGGGCTCGAATCCCACACGGAAAATGTATGTAAGGCCTACAACTAAACTAAATGTTTCGGTACTGGATGTTTATCCATGTGCAATTTATGTACTTACGCAAAAAGTAGTTTTTTTAATAGAATAAGGGTGATAAACTACCACACAGTCCACCTAATAGTGAGTGGGTACTGTGGCTCTTAGACATCTACATTTATCCTTGATTAAAAATCAATATACAGACACGTTATCACACCTGAGGAATAAGATGGAATGCATAGTATCCAGTCAAAGAGGTTTCCGGTTATCTACACTCATCACACGAAACACAGCAGCTTTGGTCCTACCCCGGTCGATCTGACCGATTCGTGGTACAACTACAACATAGCGGCATCGTAACTCTACCACGTATGAAATGATGCAGAAAGTACAAAAAATATTGATTTTCGTGTTTGGATACGTTGTTTTCCACTGGCGATTGTATCCTTTTCTCAGACACTGATCACAATCTATCTAATTTGTTATCATTGTTCGTCCTTTACTTCCATCACAGCCTATAAAAGTCCACTGCTGAACATAGGACTCTGCCATACATTGCCTCATAGGGAGGATTTTGTCATATTTGCCTGCTTCGCTTGACAAGCGGGTTGGCAACCAAAGTTTTTTATTAATTTGCTGCCCATCTTCCGCTTTAATTTGCCTCTATCGCTTCTTACGACATCCAAGGGGCGATATCGTCTAGTGGTACCGTCATTACAAGGTTATTGTGCGTGCTGATGAAAAATAGGAGATAATAGATGTCTTTCAGCTTTAATGCTGCTCTCCGTCTTCCCTCGGATATTTTACGTGTAGCATACAAGAATATACGAGATAGTTAATAATAAAGATATAGATAGTTACCTAATACGAATACGGGTACCTAGAGCTCATTCACGAATTTCCTAATGTACAACATTAATTTATGGGTTCATGTTGATGATTGGGGTATAAAATTACATTCACATACAAAAGTTTAACAATTCGTCATATTAGAATTTTCGAAGGTTGAACGAATATGTTTAACTATCTGAGATGTCAAAGATAACTTCCGCGAATGTACCCCAAATGGAATCCTGGTAGCTTATTGTTAAGATTAAGATCCAATAAGCTAAAGCGGCAATGGGCAGTCCATATAGCTCGAAGAAATCAGTGTAGTGTTCCCCGAGGGCGGTTTACTAAAGTGGAGATTGAATGAGACGCATATTTTTTGATATAGAAGAAAGGACAAACGAGCGTACGACTCACCTAATGGTAAGTGTCAACCGCCGCCCGTGAATAACTGCATCACCAGGGGAATTGCTGGTGCGATGCCAGCCTTTAAAAAAGGAGCAAGCTCGTTTCGTGAAGGTACCAAGACGTATCAGTACGGAAAAATCACGCGTAAAGGGAGTCGATGGCTGCAGGTGGTAGAGGATTATATTTTTATTTCATTCGACACTAAGTTTTTGAGCTGCAACAAAGATAGTGAACTCACCGTGCTCCATGTCGGGGTGCTGCGGTTGTGGCGCCCTCGGCGGTGGCTGGCGACTTCGGCGCGCCGCATCGCAGGTCTGCGTGGGATGCCAGGCCGCCTTGCAGTGGTAGCAGAACGACGCACCGCAGCCCGGCGCCAGGCAAGTCAGCTTCGGGCACGAAGCGCATCCAGTCGCCACCACCGCGAAACTGAAACGGGACTTATTAAGTTAACTGGTTCCGTACCATTACAGCCTATAAAAGTCCACTGCTGAACTGTTGAGTTGCCTCGCGATAGATTACCTCATAGGATAATTTTGCCAAAGTTGCCACGCTTGGCAGGCGGGTGGGCAACGGCAGTTTTTTATTACTTAAGAGTTGTTATCAGAAATATGCTGCTGCCCATCTCCTGTTTTACATCGTCACTACACGGTTTATCTTTACCAACCGGTTCACCAACTGGTTCACGAGCTCTCAATAATGAGGGCTTCCACCACTTTTTATGCCACCAGCGTGGTGGTACATAGGAATGAGGTGATATATTTGACAAGCCTCATAGCGGGGAAAGGTAATTTTTTTATAAAAGTGTAGATTGATGTTTCTTTCTGAAATATTAGCTATGTGAATTCTATTAGAAATGGATAAACAAGACTACGGATATTCCTAAATGTGAATTAAAAAATGTGTAAAAAATTAAAAAAAATTCTAGTATATGTATATAATACATACTTATACTAGAAACCGAAAAACTTATATTTAAACCGCAACTTTTCAACGAGGATGACACTCTGTGGCTATCTGCGTAACAAATAAGCCAACTTAAATGCCAACTAACGACATCTGGTGAGCGTCAGATTATTAGCTTTCATTGTCTAGTATTCATAACTCTTCTTAGTTTGCATTCGGATAGCGACTGAGCGATTTTTTTTGTGTGCAACTAAAACTTTTTTATTTTCTAACATTTTTTTAACTCTAATTGCTAACAATACCTATTTCACTCTATTCTTATTTGCCAAAAAAAAATTCCACATTCTGATTCAAGAAATCATGTATACTTAATGTATCCTTCTCCAATAATAAATTATCTAAAATGTCATATATATAGTTTTAGAATAATTTATTCAAAATAAATTATTCTAAAACTATAGTTACATATACTACGTGTTTATTAAGTCACTTTCTTGTAATTTTCGTTCCGGGTGGAATTTAGTAATTGATTTCAAATATAATTCAAATTCGGATGACAATGCCAAGAATATAATTAAAAAAAAAGTGGTAAAAATAAAAAAATAAAAAAAAATAAACGTGGTAAAATAGTTCAATTGTTTAATTTTGAAGTTATAAAGCAAAAAATCTTATAGCTACACAAAGTACGAAATAAAAAAATCAAGTTACAATTAGAACTCTTCACTTAATCTAGTTTGTAAAATATCTAAACAATGAGTAAATGCTGCATAAGACGAACAATGCGAAACAGGGAAAAAAACCAAACCTTCCGTGGTAAAATTTGAATATAGACTACAGTCGGTCGCGCGTTCTAACGTTTGACCGTTCGAGTGGGCAGATGTAATTGTTCGGCCCGGTAATCTAGGGAGCACGGGTCCAGCGGAGTGCCCGTGGGCGTTAGCCTTAGCTATTTTATCACATAATAACATTCTGGTTTTTATAAAGATTGCTTTAATAGTATCTTACTAGCTCGCCAGGTAGAGGTTGTTCTGCCCTTTCCAACGACCCTTCCTATAAAAATCCTTAAATTCGCAATAAAAAATTTTGATGGTCATTTATCGGGATAAAAACTATCCTATCTCTCAAGTTGGACCAAAATGCACACAGTGTGCAAAATTTCATTGAAATCAGTTCAGTAGTTTAGGAGTCCATCGCGGACAAACAACGAGACACGTAATTTTTATATACAAAGATTAAGCAGCGGTTATATTTAGTCAAAGATGTAAGATTGATTAGACTGATTAGAGAAACGTCACCCGTAATATACCAGCTAAAATAACATCAAGCAAGACGTCTCAGACTTTTGACACTGTTCCCCCGATGTTGACTCCGATGCCGGTCCGGTGTTTTACATCTGGTATAAATACGGAATGATTAAACTGCCACGGTTCCATCTCATGAAGGTGAAATGGTAGTTTTAGAATTTCTTTACAGTAGCCTCTTACAACTACCATGGAAACGGTAAGGGATACTTTTTAAACGCTGAATAAGAATCAAACAAGCAACAAACCAAGCATTGTCATATTTCAGGACTACTATAGAATGCATAATGGTTAGTAAGTTATGCGCAACATAAAAAAAAAGTATTGATAAGTACTTTTCAAAGTCTATATCATTTATAAAGCCATGCCAAGTTGTTATTTTTTTTTTCTATTAAAATACCATCAATGCTATTAACATTACTAATATTCCCATTAACCACTCCTGCTAAGCTCAAAACTTGTGTTAGCAGTAGTTCACGACAGTAGTCGGATGGCGGACTCACGAACTTTGAGTTCGCGATCCTCACCCTGCCATTAGGACTCTGTTGGTGTGAAAACTTTGTCGCTTTGGTTGAATTACACTAAATTAACTCCATAAAGGAAATGGGTCTAACCTACGCTCATGAAATAAACCTTACCTGCAGTCGGGCGCTGGACACCATCGTGTGTCAGGGTCCGCGGCCAGTGCTCGTCTCACCGAGAACTCCTCGTATTTGTCGTAAAGCGCCGAGTTGTCTACGATTCGACGTACGTCTGAAAATACAATACAATAACGTCATCAAATACGTCTTGATTATTTTATTATATTACACTAGGTGTAATTACATTGTAATACTGCAATAACTGGTGACGGTTAGGTAAGAAAAGGAATATATTATGATATATGAGGCAAATGTTTCGCTAAGACCTTTCTAAGAAATTTCTAAAACTTCCTAGAAAATACTGGAAGGTTCTTACAGCCAACGCCACAAAACCCTCTTAGAATTGAAGCGACCAAAGGTTATCTATGGTTACAATCGCGAGTGGAGGGCGGAGGATGACATTTGATTGTGGCAAAAACTGGGAATTAATTTTTATGAATGAACCCCTTTACTTTTATTGTATAAAACCCTGACGGGTTGGCAACTTTTTTCAGACTCAAGGGACAAACCATTACGAAGTTTAAAAAATACGGGATTTTTGTTTTTTACCCCGGCCCAATAAAGCCTGTTAACTGAATTTGACACTATTTGCGATAATACCCTTTCGACGAAACAAGAAATGCTAAAAATGAAAGAAATTATGGTGAAAACGCTGCTTATATCTGACTTTGAAAACGATTTCTTCCAATTCTCAATCGCCGTAGATTTTTGTCAGTGTGTATGTAACTAACTAAGGGCGTTTAATAAAACGTAAGAATTTGTTACAGATAACTTTTATTGTTTTATTAAATGTTATTTCATTTCAAATGACTAGAAGCAAGATCAGGTAAAAATTAAAGATGTATTTTAAAGCCAGTAGTACACAAATCCACTGTTGCGATGGATTCAATTCAAGCGTTATTTTGGTGAAACAAAACAATATTTGAGGGTTGGCCACACCGTTGTTGTGGACATGTTTTGCGCAATTTTTTCATTTTTTTTTTGTATACGAAGTGCCCGCAACGATAACAGTCCTGACTGACCCAAAAAGAGAGCCATGATCTTGCCGACTTCAAGATTCGCCTTGAATTGTTTAGGTTTACGTACCATTTAAGATGATGTTTACCAGTCTCCAGTACAGGAGTTTTGTTTCGGGATTTTTATGATTAAGCCACCATCATGATTTTGTTGATACAGTTCTAAAAAATAAAATGTCGAAATCTTTGCTCCTGCAATAACTCGACAATCTGGTCAAACATTTTATTCGAAATTTTTAACCATTTATTCGGTTATTGCTGTCGTATAAGTCGGTTAAGGCATCGAGGGTGATCTTTAATGAATTATACACCACCACCTTACACCAATTTGCAACTGTAGAATATAGCGAAGTATTTGCGTCTTATGTCCTATAAATCCTGATTGAAATATTAATATCATAATCAGTTAGTGTTAAATATTTAAACGCGCCTCCTATTTACCAAACTAAGAGACGTGTCCTGTCCCCGAGTGAACATTAACATTTTTATGCAATAAATACGGATACGGTAAGATACAAGTTAGTAGGGACGCATACGTATACACTCATATAAACATTGATCTAGAATAAAAAAGATTTAAGGATAACGTATATCGTTTAAAACCCAACAATAATTACAGGCCTATTTCCAAATTATGCATACTAAGTAAAGTCCTCGAAAAAGTAGTGCATTCTCAAATATACTCAGCTATCAGACAATCACTTCACGACTCCTAGCACGGCTTCCCCCCGGTAGGTCTTCTGTCATAAATCTTGTTTTACTTAATGACTTCCTTACTGATTCCATGGATAAGGCCATCTAGTTGATATCACATACACGGATTACAGTAAGGTATTCGACTCGATTAACCATAGCCACCTATACAAGCTCGAATGTATTAGCATAAGCGGAGATCTACTACGCTGGTTTTCTACCTACATTGAGAACAGAATACAAGCGATAGTAATAAGCAATTATTACACATGGTAGAACCACGCTACAGCTATATTAACGTTGTAGCACGAATGGGTCGGCTCGACCGACGTAGGACCACGCTCTCACATAATACAGGCTGGCCCAAAAATTTTTGCAAATAGCAACACTAGATTATTTTGAAAAACCGTTCGAGGGATGGGCGCGCGGGTGGCGGAAAACTGCGTCACTTCATGCAATTTTAGTCAAGATGGAGCGCTTCACGGGACAACAGCGTGCTTTTTGTGTAAAACAATTTTACAAAAACAATGATTCCTACGTTACTGTACGACGCCTGTTTAGAATTAAATATGGATTACGCCGTATAAGTGAGTGTCCAAGTGTTAATTTGATCAAAGCTTGGGTCGAGAAGTTCGAACAAACGGGATCAACAACGAATATTAAACAAACAGGGCGGCCACGTTCAAGAAGAAGTGATGAGAACATTCGAGAGGTCGAAATATCCGTACTGAACGATCCAGAATCATCTACGCTTAAGCGTTCGGCGGCTCTGGCACTACCAAGAACTAGTCTACGGCGAATTTTGCATCTGGACCTCAAACTACACCCATATAAGCTTCAAATTGTACAGGAGATGAAACCAAATGATTACATTCAACGTAAGTTAGTGGCTGACACTATGCTGGAGCGATTCTCTAGCCTTGAGAATGTATTGTTTACGGACGAGGCCCATTTTCACATCAATGGGCACGTGAATAAGCACAATTGTCGATATTGGAGCAGGGACAACCCTCGCCTTAAACACCAAAAGCCACTTCATTCATCTAAAACGACAGTATGGGCTGCCATATCAGCAAAGCATTCGTTTTACCTCTCTAATAGAAATAAAATAAAACTATTAAAGGTTACCGTTACAGCCTAACAAAAGTCCAATGCTGAGCATAGGCTTCACCCATAGATTGCCACATAGGAGGGTTTTGCCATAGTTGCCAAGCTTGGCAGGCAGGTTTGCAACCGCAATTAATTTCGGTTGTTATCAGAAAGTTGCTGCTGCCCATATTCTGTTTCAGTTTTACTTTGTCGCATGTTGCGACACCCACGGGACGATATGGGGTAGTGGATATTCTTAAACCCCCACTTCACAGTCAAAGTTTTAATGTATTACTATAAAAATAAATATTTTTAATTTAGAAATACGTATTTCTAAATTATATATTAACCTGATTGTGTTTTTCTATAATACAATCAGGTCTTTTGTAATTCAACTAATAATTAGGTAACAAGAAGTTAGTAAATAGATCGTTAGGCATTAGAAAAAGTAAAAATGTCATCGAAACGCGGCATTACACAGTTTGTACTTTATGTATAATAAAAGGGGAATATAATAAGGATTTTCAAAGTATTATTATTCAGCACCCTAAAAGTTTTGCACAATAATCACGCATATTAAGTATTTAACAGTGGGAGAGCCACGCGGCAGCTTTTGCTGTCGCACGGATGGGCCGGCTCGAACCGGGGTGGTGGTACCACGACCTCACAGAAAACCAGCGTGAAGTAGAGGTTTACCTCTGCGTTTCGCTTGGTGAGTGCAGGTGGCCGGAGGCCCTTTTTACTGGAAATGAGGCATTCCATCTTAGTCCTCACGGGTGACAACGCATCTACATTTTCATTTGTAATAGAGGATAGATGTAGATGTCTATGGGCCGCAGCAACCACTTATCATCAGGTGGACTGTGTGCTAAAAAAATTTATTAACGTTGTAGTATCAACACATCACAAGTAACTAACTATCCATGCTATGTTGCGAAGTGCAAGCAACACAATCGCTAATTTATTACTTGGATGGAAGTTGCGAGGGTATGTTTACTTCACTTTATTGCGTAAGTACATTAACGTCTACATTTCATTTAGAAATCATAATTATTTTTGCATGCTATGTAAATACACTAATTTGAAAAAAAATCTTTTTTACCTAAATGCTTTGAAAGAAAGGTATTATGTTTTTCAAAGGTGATTTAAAACATGTATATTGTGTGTATTATTGTATTGTAATGTATGCAATATCCATGTCTATTTATTGGCACGCTCTGAAACCTAAACGCCTTGATGAATTTTAACATAATATGGGATATGTGCTGAGTCAGGTTATCCTGTTTATTTATTATTTAAGACATCTTTAAACCAATGCGTCTTTCCTACATTGTGGAAAATTTTAAACATAATATGGGATGTGTGAGCTGAGTCATTAGCTTATCCTATTTATTTATTATTTAAGACATCCTTAAACCACATCCAAATACCGATTCAAAAGAAGGGTTCAAAACTGGAAATAAGTAATTACCGTCCCATTTCTAATTTAAACTCAATTAGTAAAATGATGGAAAAAGTTGTTTAGAACAACATTTACCCTATAATTATAAAAGGCATTTCAATCAGCCAGGCTTTTTAAAACGAAAGTCTACCATTTCTAACTTGGCTGAATTTTGTGACTATTTTATTTGCGGGATGGAAGACTGTGGACAAGTTGATGCGATCTACACGGATTTCGAAAAAGCTTTCGACCGTGTGGATCACATCATCCTCTTAGACAAAGCCTAAGCCTAAGATGGACTACCTCTTATCTCTCTAATCGTTTTCAAGCTGTTTTTATTGGCGGTTTCAGTCTGATTTGATATAAATTCCATCAGGTGTTCCTCAGGGATCACACCTTGGTCCACTATTCTATATATGATATTAACCAATGTTTCGAATTTTCAAATCATCTACTTTACGCTGATGATAAAAAGGTGTTCATGAAAATTAACTCGATTAAAGATTGTGAACTAATTAAACGTGACTTGGATAACTTGCATTCATATTATGCCCGATACAATATAACAGTAAATATAAGTAAATGTCAATGTATCAGTTTTAGCCGAAAGAAAAATAAAATTGCTTTTCCGTATCACTTTAAAGGCGAAGGCATAAAACGGACTGAGATAGTAAAGGATTTAGGAGCTTTTCTTGATTCTAAAATTATATTTTCTCAGCATGTCAACCATATCGTAAATAGATCATATCGTAATCTGGGGTTCATTATGAGGACTTGTAAACCTTTTAAAAACATATGCAGTCTTAGATCTATCTACTACGCATATTCTTGCAGTATTCTAGAATATGGTAGCTCCATATTGTCATTGGATTG